TTCATAGTTGTTTTTACAATTAAAAATTGCATTGATAAATGATGAAATAATGTTAGATGGTATTCACTAGTCATCCGGTTCAGGATAGGGACTGGTGGCTGGCTGTTGTGGAAACTGTAATGAACCTTTGGGTTCCAAAAAGGTAGGGAATTTCTTGACTAGGTGAGTGACTCATCTTCTGAAGGAGGATTCCTTCCATATAGTTAGTGAGAGTTGGGGTGATATGCATGACACATAATGTGTTTAATGCATTTCAACTATGTAAACATTACAAAACTTGAAATACATTTTTTTATTTTCAGTTATATATTATGTCTTATATTTCTCACTTGGAAAATTTAAGGTGAATCATTGTTTTGAAGTTAAGAATAAGGTACATCTGTTTCGAAAATTGTTTTCCTCTAGGTCTAGTTAAAAAAAACAATAATATTTGTTAGTCCAAGTTTTGATTAACAGGCAAGTTCAGTCTTTGTATGAAAGGAACAAATAAATGATAGTTAATCTGCCTTTAATATTTGTCATGATTGCAGTTAGTATCACTCACTTTATTTGTTTATTAGATGACAACATTATTGCTGCCCACAATCTCATGTAATTCTATAACTTGATGATCCCATTTGTGTAGTTCAGAATTCAGGATGCTGTATTCTGTGACTGGGGATATATCTTGTAGGCAAAGGCGATGCATCTGCTCAGCGTTACAGCTCTGCTGCTTCTTCAAGAGATAGTTCTTCATCGAAAGTAGCATCTCTTTATCATACCATCAGTGGAAAGGTTCTGGGATCTCGAGAGTCTTCTGATCGGGCTGACACTGTTCCTGGCCTTGAGATGTCAGCACAAGGCCCCAGTACTAGCCACCACCACTTGCCTCCTCCACCACCACCAACTACATCTCGCAGACCACAGTCTCATCATGAAGATATTCAGTCAGAGGTTGCAGGATGCCTAGATGTGAGAGAAAGGCTTGAATCTCAATTAAAGGAAAAGCTTCATGAAATTGTTGGACGTCGGTTAATTCAGCCAAGTTCTGTAGGAGAAAAGGGTATTGACAGTCAAGGGGCAGAGGAAAGTGAGTATCAGCGCATATCTGAAGCTACAACATCCCCTGTAGGAGGACAAGATGGGGGAGGTGTTACAAAACAAGCAGTAAGGGCAATGATTCACCGGGAACCAAGCACAGCTGCTAGTACACCTACATCACCACATAGGCATCGTGGTGAACAACAGGTTGTGGAAACTGTAATGAACCTTTGGGTTCCAAAAAGGTAGGGAATTTCTTGACTAGGTGAGTGACTCATCTTCTGAAGGAGGATTCCTTCCATATAGTTAGTGAGAGTTGGGGTGATATGCATGACACATAATGTGTTTAATGCATTTCAACTATGTAAACATTACAAAACTTGAAATACATTTTTTTATTTTCAGTTATATATTATGTCTTATATTTCTCACTTGGAAAATTTAAGGTGAATCATTGTTTTGAAGTTAAGAATAAGGTACATCTGTTTCGAAAATTGTTTTCCTCTAGGTCTAGTTAAAAAAAACAATAATATTTGTTAGTCCAAGTTTTGATTAACAGGCAAGTTCAGTCTTTGTATGAAAGGAACAAATAAATGATAGTTAATCTGCCTTTAATATTTGTCATGATTGCAGTTAGTATCACTCACTTTATTTGTTTATTAGATGACAACATTATTGCTGCCCACAATCTCATGTAATTCTATAACTTGATGATCCCATTTGTGTAGTTCAGAATTCAGGATGCTGTATTCTGTGACTGGGGATATATCTTGTAGGCAAAGGCGATGCATCTGCTCAGCGTTACAGCTCTGCTGCTTCTTCAAGAGATAGTTCTTCATCGAAAGTAGCATCTCTTTATCATACCATCAGTGGAAAGGTTCTGGGATCTCGAGAGTCTTCTGATCGGGCTGACACTGTTCCTGGCCTTGAGATGTCAGCACAAGGCCCCAGTACTAGCCACCACCACTTGCCTCCTCCACCACCACCAACTACATCTCGCAGACCACAGTCTCATCATGAAGATATTCAGTCAGAGGTTGCAGGATGCCTAGATGTGAGAGAAAGGCTTGAATCTCAATTAAAGGAAAAGCTTCATGAAATTGTTGGACGTCGGTTAATTCAGCCAAGTTCTGTAGGAGAAAAGGGTATTGACAGTCAAGGGGCAGAGGAAAGTGAGTATCAGCGCATATCTGAAGCTACAACATCCCCTGTAGGAGGACAAGATGGGGGAGGTGTTACAAAACAAGCAGTAAGGGCAATGATTCACCGGGAACCAAGCACAGCTGCTAGTACACCTACATCACCACATAGGCATCGTGGTGAACAACAGGGTAAGATGGTGAGGTTATACCCAGCTTCAGATACTGAGGACAGTGTTATTTATATGACAGAAAATCAAAAAGGGACAGCAGATAAAGCAAGAAAACAGAATTCATGTGAGAGTTTGACTCTTAGTACGGTTTCTGTAAATAGTCGACGGTCATCTGTTGATTTAGGAGATAGAAAAACTCTTGTTGTTGTGATTGGTACTAGTAGTAAAGGTGCAAAAGCAAGGTTAATGCAGAAGCAGCGGTCATGGGAGACCTTTCCACCAAAAAAAAGGGGTGTAGGAGTAGATGAACGGGGTGAAGGGTTTGGAAAATTCTGCAGAGATCCAGATGCATTTCGTGGTGGTTTTGAGCTTCGACCAGTTCAGTCTGGAAGTCAGGGAGCTCTGGGTTCATTGAGGGGAGAAGTGGGGAGTTTAAAGAAGGCGGACAGTTTTGAAGGACATGAGGAGGCAGTACGGACACTTGTTGCTGCAGTTCAAGAAACAAGAACTCAACACTTGCAGCAGCAGAGGAAGCAAAGTCAACCAAAACAAGGTGGAGGAGGAAACTAAGAGGATGCATATGTGAGAATTAAGAGGACAGCTGTGGCTTCCCATCAACCTCTTACAGACCACCAGGATAATTGGAGACACTCCAGAAGCTAGTAGAAGGCTTAAAAAGCATTTAGAAAGGGCATACCTTGCAGTATACAACTTGTTTAGTCATTTTTATGACATATTAAAGATCCATCACAACCTATAAGCAATTCCCAATTCAGATCATATTGTTACAAAGACTTTAAGAGTGACAGTCAAAATTATGAAGTGTTGTTACAATAAAAAAACTCATAAAGGGGAGATAATTTTTAAAGGGTATAGCTGCTGCATGCATCTATTAATGTATAGTCTGGCCTCAGATTATGTGGCAGGTACTGAATTGCACCATATTGAGGCCCTTGATATAAATAAAATGTGGGACAACATGTTAATGTAATTGTGCAAGGGATGCTAATAACTATTTTGCTTTGAGGGATAGCCTGTTATAGCTAGTTATGAACAATTTAAAATAATTATTAGAAAAGCTGATCAGTACATTATGTTTTTGCAAAAGCAAAAATAATTGCACAGAACAGTTAAGTGATGATAGAGGCCTATCACTGCATTACTCATATGCTGTTGACTTATTAAGACCAGTTTAAAATGTTTGTTGACTTTGGAAGTATTTCCATTGTTATGTATTGCCCTGGTTGGAATTTGTTATTTATTACTTAATACAAGTTCATGCTCCTGCCAGTGGAAGCTTGCAAATGAACTCGTTTGGATCTAGAGTCTGAGTGAGCTATCATGAATGTGTATTCTGAGAATTTTAATTTTGCTTGGGCTAAAATAGATCACATTAAATGTTATGTTCTTTAGATTATTTTCATCTTTTTATTTATTTTCCACAGTTACATTTTCTTGATTTTACTGATTGTTGAGTTGTTGGGCTGGTTATTGTACCATTCAGGAAGGAGTAGTTCTTTTATTATCAAGCATTAACAGAAACTGTTATACATATTCATTTGGATGAAAAAGTACATTTTATTTCTCATTTATTTTGTTCTTCATATTTTATCTTCCTTTTATTTTAAAGCCTAGTTTGTTATGTAGGCTGTATTGATATTTATTTCATGAACTGTGTGCCAAGATTATCTCAAACTCATCACCTCACATTATTCATAATAGTTGAAACACAGTACAGTGAAACCTCTATCCATCGTTCCCGGAACTATCGTTTTCCCGGATGCATCGTCCGTTTTGTTCGGTCCCGAATACATCCCATATAAAATAATGTTACATTTTCCCGCTTCTATCGTTCCTCGAACTATCGTTTTATCGCATCGATCGTTCAAAAATCGTAGTCCCGGCCCACAATTTTCCCGCAATGATCGTTCCTGAGAATTTAAAATGCTGGGTTTAGAGATAAATTAATACCGAAAGACGCACAATGTTTTTGGAATAAACAGTAGCGGTAACCTGTTATGTCGCCCAACCAGCACATTCTTTTGGAATGAGGGTCAGCGGTGCAGGGGTGATAGTTGGAGTGAATGGCGGTGCCCATTGTCAGAAATTTTACGATTTTAATTAGGGTGCACTCATATTTCGTTCCAGCGATGCCAGGGCCAGACACCAAAGTTAACTCAAGTAATGTATTCTAATTCATTGGATATTACAGTTTTATTTTAAGGAATGGAAGAAAACTAAATGTAACCTAGAAACAGAAAACAAGGTGCTTTTTTGAATTGTATTTAATAGAAATAATTTAGCTAGCATAGCATAGACAGTATTAATAGCTAAACCTGCAGTCACTGATTTTTTAAAATGATTTTGGGAAATCATTTGCTTTACAACGTGCTTGACTTGTATATACTTTCATTCAAGGACTTTACTTTAGCTGGAAAAGCTGTCACAGTTCCCGCAAGCTACATTCATATTTGGAAGGAACAGTACGTAACTTGTGATTTGAGATTCTCATGGCGGTGAGTAAAAAGATGGCTGTGTTCTGGGTTATTGTGCTATGTAGTCTGTTAGAAGTTTACCATTATTTCAGAGGTATCTGCTACCTCTGTTATCAGGGCATTGAGTGCTGTTGATGAAGGCAGCAGGGACCTTTGAAATTTCAGTAAACGTCTATGAGATCACATGTCACAACAACCTGAAGACACGTGTCTTCAGTTTGTGTCTTGTTGGTTGCTTCTTATGGAAAATATTAACTCCAGTTGGCTGTTACACTTACTATATAATTGCAAATCAAATTACATGATACATATGAAAGAAGTCATTGTTGCATGTTGTAATTTAGTAGATCCCTAACCTGTTTTAGCAGCAGTGTGAAAATGTGATTGGATTCCAGGAATAACTGTAAAAGATTGTGCATCGTATCATAGTAGTTTGAAATCTGTTATGGATGTTGTTATGAATGTTTAAATTCTCGGGCCCCAAAACAAGAATAGCTGACTTGAAAGTCTTGTTGTGGAACCATTATAAGTTGTCATTTTCACTTACAAAGAAAATAATGTAGCTGAGGCTTGATTTTTAAAGTCCTCAAGAGGAAATTGATGCTGTGAAGCAAAATGGAACTGCTTCCTAGTGCTCTTGGTTTGCTATGCTGTTTCCAGACTGATAGGCATAAGCCAAAAGCAATCTTTCATATTGGATCAGGGTCTTGTATTTGATACTCAGAAAGTGATAATATATTTTCCTTGTGGGTCCATAATATTTAAGAGGGGTTGAATTCTAACAGTTGGTAACTAGTTTAAATCAGGGTGACATCAAACCTTTGTTCCAGTTTTGGCTGTGATCACTTAATGCATTTAAGGATATTTATTGATATGGAGTTATTTCCAAAGTTTTCCTTATGGCACCATGCACAGTCTGTTAATGAACTGGGTTCATATTATGGTGAACGTTTAGTATATAGAATATATGTAGATGTGATTAATAATTGTTTCCTAACCATGAAACAATTTTGAAAGAAAATATTTAAAAGAAAAGTCACTGCCAAAGAACGATGTTAAAAAAAATCATTGTTTTATTGATAGCAAGCAGGAACATGAGAATATGTATACAGAGCTGTGTAGAATTTAGATAGGTATCTGTCAGTTTCAGAAGAAGGAGAAGAAGAAACAACCTTACTTTGTGTTCTGTAGAGACATTGGTCATGCTTTTGTGTTAAAGAAGTTTATTCACATTTTCACTAGAAACATGCTATACTTCTGTTCAGCAGCTAGAAGGTGGAGATGATCATCTGGAGAATTATATAAAATTGTATGAAGTTTAATGGTCATGACTCAACTTTCCATCCTTTTACTATTGATTCTCCTCCTACTTGTTTCTGCTTTTGTTATAATCTAAAAATATGCATTATCCTTGACATTTTGGTGTTAACATAATTCAATTCAATTTCTTTATTACAGTGTTTGCCAACAGCAAAGAGCCTATGACAGGCAAACACTAAAACAAAAATACAACAAAAAATACAAATTACGTACAAAAACAAATAACTACCAAACACTAGTATAAATGTAAAACACTAAATAGTACTAAAACAATACAAAAAATAAAATAAAAGCAATAATCAAATTGAAACAAATAACCAAGCTAGATCCAATCTAGGTCACTATCTAGATCATTTCTATTAATGAGAAAGTGCCCTCAAAAGAAACAATGTTCATGCCAAATACGTCCAAAAATTTACGTACATCATTTGCTGCAATGACACACCTGGCTGAAGGGCTATGTCTAAGCGCACTGCACACACAAAACATAGAAAATTCTCTTATTTGCCTTGACTGCACACGAATACCAACAGTGTTCATAATGGAATTGCAATTTATTTTACCCTTAAATACATTAATAAGAAATAAACCACCAAGATGCCGTCGTCTGGAATGAAGTGTTCTGAAATTTAAAGTAGTTAAAATCAATTCATATTTACGTGTAATATTAAACTGAAAAAACTGGTAATAATTCAATAATAAAATAATTTTTCATTAAATAGTGATGTTTGATATTATGTGGTCTTATGTAATTATGAGACCAACATTAAATAGTGTTTGAATGACGTTAATCCTCCTTATACTAAAAGCAGATGGGGATGTTAAGTTAAATTTATCTTGAAAATTATGATGAATCAAAATTTAATTCATGTATCAGTCTTGCAAAAAGCATAAATTGAATATAATTTAATATAAAAATGTTGTATATAGTACTGAAAATAATGTGTTCTGGGGATAACCCCACCACCATAAATTTCTCATCACTTTCTGGCTGAAACATTTTGAGCCTTTTTGTGCATTATTTTTATTTAAAATTACTGGGTGTAAAGTAATTTGTTTTGTGTAATTTATTTTTTTGTTTATTTTTTACTTTTTAATTTATTTATGTTGTAATATTTTGTGTGTAATTTTGCATAAGAAATGAGTAGAAATATATATTACTGGAGCAGAGAAAGTTAACTTTTAAATAATTAATATTTTCTCAAATCTTCTGTGACTGGAATTTGCAAGGTGGTGTTCATAAATGAATCTCCAGATCCCATCGTACTGTTTCTAGTCATACTAGTCTTTTACATAGTATGAAGATCATCTCTACCTTTAACAGCAGCAGAATTTATATTAACATTGGAGTGTGTCCATTGTTAGAACATTTTATGCTGCTATTGTTAATTGGTACTTTACATCACATTATCTTATCCTGACCACCTTCTACTTGTCAGTCATATTTCTTGGAATGAAAAACAGTGAAAGGTATTTGAGATAAGAATATATTGGCATAATTCAAAATGTCTTAGATTTCAGTATCACTTGAATGGTTTAACTTTTTAGTGTGATTACAATTTATTGTATAATTAATAATAATATTACTCACATATTTTACATGCAAACCTTTATTACTGGTGGAAGAATTGTTGAAATCAATTGGAAGGAAAAAAGTGGTCTCCCATTAATTTTTTTAAGGTGGAATGTAACATGTGGCTGAATAGTACTACTGCTTCTGTGCATGTAATAATATGCACAGATGCAGTGGTGAAAATGAATTTTCCAAACATTCACCAACCAATTATGAACACAATTACAGTTATGTTTAACTTACGAGGTGGGATAGCTCAATCCATAAAGTAACTGGCTACATGCCTTAAATGTTCACTTTCCAGGTTTGTGCATCGAAATGTTGAAGGCACAATTGCATACTACATTATTTTTATTGTTTAGGCTTATTTAAATAAAACTTATGTTACTGTAGAAAGTTAGTAGCATGATTTTCTTACAGGTAGTTTCAAAATTAAATTGTCTTCATACTCTGATGTCCAAAATACTGGGACTGTTATCATACACCACCACACAACTTGCAGAATTGTAATTTTTTGTATCTAAGGTAACTGTGGCAGATTTAGGATGGCATATTGTTACTTTTATATTTGAAATCAGGGGTCAGCAATTTTTGTTGTAGACCTCATTGGCTATTCATATCTGTGTTGAGGGATGCAGGAAAAACGGTTGATACTGTTGTGGGCAGTAAGTGAAACTGTATTTCTTAAACTTAAAGAGCATAATTGTTACTTGAAAATGTATAGATAATTACTGTATTTCTCCATACAACTGCATATAATGTAAAGACATTTGTTAGCTTTCAGACAATTTTGATTTCAAGTCACTGTTAATTTTATAAAACTTCAATTATTAATGCCACAATAATATTCATGTTATTTTGTGAAATGTTACATGGTTTTAACAACAGAACAATGTACCCTTGATGACTGTCTTCTGGGTTGTAGCACTGTGTAGTCTGATAGAAGTTTATGAACCTTTCAGATGTTCTTGCTGCCTCAATCATCAGGGCAGTGAGTCAGCAGAAAATTGTTTTCACTCTGGCTAATTCCCAAATCATGTGTAGGGCTGCATTTAAAGGTTGTGAGGGTCAAATGCAGCCCATGGGTTACAGGTTGCTTAACTCTGTTTTAAATTAACCAGCAATACATGTTTCCTTCATATCTTCTTAGGGATCCTAATCAGCACAAGGCAAACAACTGTTTTCTTTCAAGAATTGTCTCTATTGTTAATATTAACATCAAAATTATATGTAGCACAGGCATTACAAATATTATTCCTATTTTGAAAGTGAGTCATTTTCAGAAAGTGAGCAGAAATTTGTGTGTTTAGTCAGAAAAGAAAGCATGCATTGGCCAGATGTTTCTTTCCACTTAAATGTGTGGAGGTACTTTTTTTTAAAATTAAAACTACAGTAATTATAATAATAATAATTGCTCAAAATACTGATGTAAATAAAAATAGCCTAGAGAAATATGCCCAGATGCTTAATATTATTACATACAAATTTAAATAGTGTTAATTTCTTTCTGTAGAAATAGCAAAATTATCATGTAGTCATATGTAACACTTTTCAAATCATATTAATATTAACAATTTGGCCCAAAGCCAAAAATAAAATAAAATATTACAAAAAACTTCTTGTCCAATATTGTATGCATTCTTACATTATAACAAGTACTTCAATTTTGGCTAACAGTTTCAAAATTGAGTGAGGTGATGTTAAGATATAAAGAAAATCAAAAGTAGGTCACTGATAAATTACGAGTATTCTTGGCAACATACTTACTTTAACATGAACAGAATAAAAGCATTGATGTGTGTTCATTGTCAAAAACTTTTGGTCCTATAGGGATTGAAAGAGGAGACTTTGAAATCAACTTCTATAATGGTGTACAATAGATTCTGGCTAATTGGGCCATTTGTTAATTGGGGCAGCTGTTTATTTGGGACAAATCTTAAAGAACAAACCTTTTTAACTCTTTACGTGAAACTTTGTATAATTGGGGCAGGCATTTAATTGGGTCAAAGTGTTCTAGTCCTGATGTGTTGCAATTGACCAGAATCCAATGTATTTTTATTTTAGTATTGTCAAACTGATCTCAGTACAAGGTTTTACTCATTACCAACTTTTTATGTACAGTCAAGTTCACATAAAACTGTTTTCTTTATTAAATGTGGGTATTTGATAATAGTAGTTTTCAATTTACGGTCCTCCTGTCATCTGTTAAATATTATTACCTATTAATTACTCATTCAAGCTGCACCACTGATTTCACAGTTTATTACATTATGAACAGTCGCCATAGAAATTTTTGGCCAGACACATGCAAAATTTGATCCAGGCTCAAATGATGTCAGCTACTTTCTGTATGTCTGCTGCATAACATGCTAAAATGTGCACAGGAATCAATTTATTGGGAGATAGTGCAACAAGTTTTATCATTTTCAGATCAGTTTTTTATATGTACTGCAGCATAAGAAATTTTCTTTTTAATCAAGTCTTGAATTTTGTGATGTGTATTGTATGTCATCTTAACAGAAGGTGGTTAAACATGAAGTGGGAAAAAAAGTTCTAAACTGATTTTGAAATATAATGAAAAGTGTGACAATATATTTTGGAATGTTTTAACATTTCATACTTTTAGGCTGATTCATTTATTTACCCAGAACTGTTTTAAGAGTTTTTGGTTATGCTGACAGTATGCTTCCTGAATGATGTTTTATCTACTGTTATTACATAATGGATAGAATATTTTGTTCTTTAGATACCTAAATGAGGTTCTGAAGGGACATTAAATGTAGATTCTGGTTTGTTTAGTTTATTAGGCACAAGTTATTTTGCTAAAACATAATGTAAACCAAAAATAATGAGAGTTCTTTCTTTTTTGAAAAACCTGTCCTGTAACTTCAAGGAAAAACAGTTTTACAAAAATCAAGGTGCAGCTTGAATGTGATGGTTTGCAGCATTTGTATATATCACCAGCAATATAATTGTTATTCTCTAGTTTCTTTTTAACCAGTTGATTGTATTTTATGTCTTTGAAGCAATGATTGTGGTGTATATGGTTATCAGCGCATAAGCATGGTAACTTGGAAGTTCTTAAGTGTACGAAACTATCCATTTATGAAGTATTTTACTATAAAAACCTACAATATGTTGTCGGGCACCAGTCAGATAAGTAAAACATTTTTCCTTTATGTACTGGTATTAAAAGTGTGTTTTGAGCTGTGCCCTGGAAGGTAGTAGTAATTCACACATTTCTTATATATGTCTAACGAAACGTTTCCTTTCTACATTCTTTCACCACAATGTTATTTTCATTCAGGTCAACCTAAATGTGCCATGGTACTTGATTTTATATTGCTTTAAGAGGTGATTTGTGTAACATAACATTTTTAAAGAAAGGTTGAAAAGGGGCTGTATATTGTGTACTTTATACTACAGAATTTATAAAGGAACTTGCCCAAAATCTGTAAGTATAAAATAGATTATATTATTGTTTTATCAGTATGAGAATTACATATTTATTTAACATAATTGCACATCACATTTTAAAGCTACAAAACTAGGACCTAGTTTGCAGAAATCTTCATAAACTTCATTGGCTTGAATTCTTGTTACAAATTGCAGTTCATTATATCTTTCTCTCAATCATTTTAATGTCATAGGCCTGCCAAATAATCCATACTTTTAAGGTTTTAAAAGTTAATAATGCATGAGTACATTTTTCGTATGTAGGTTATGTTTAATGGAGGGGAAAACTGCTATTAAACACATATCCACCCTTAAGAAACAATTTTCTGCATAAAAATATTAAATAGTGTATTCATTTTAAATAATCTTCATACATTTTATTTCAATACAATTAAGATAGATATAATAGAGTCTGGCAGACAAGTCAAAACTTTATTGTAAATAGTCTTTAATTCTTGTTTTAGTTAAGTGGTTTTTATTTTCCTTTTTACATTTGTCATTCTTCACGGCAGTAGCTTGTCAAACAGCAGCATGTGTGGTTCTAAATGGTCCAGCAGGCTTTCAGTTAATCCACTTGTCTGTGTATGATAAATGCATTTCTCAGAAATTGGGGGATGTATTCATCAATGGCACATTCATCTGTTTCCCCTGACTTCTTGTGTGCACACTTTACAGTTTTGCTGTTGCTCTCCACTTTGTGGTCTGCCTTTGTATACTCAGCCTAATGCCATTCTGAAATCTTATCATAGTTCACATTTTCACAGCTTGACATACCATTCAAAATGGTTGCCTAAATTTCACTTGTTCAGAACTATGACAGTCTTCTTCCTCATTGACAGGAAAAATTGTTTTCTGTAATTTGTTTATGGTAGTTGGTTGTGCCATATGCCATGCATTTGACATTTTGTAAGTAGCATCTAACACAGTGAACTACTTCAGAAGTGTTATGATACCATTACCCTTATGTGTGCTAGTGAAGGAGGCTTCTGCTGTATATGAATTACTTCTTGGTTCTTTGCCTGAATTAATGTAGTCACATCAGGTGGAAAATATTTCACACAGATTCTACCATTGTCAGATCTGAGAACATTCTATTCAGTTGCTGTGATGTGGACCTCCTGATTTAAATATGTTCATAGTTTATTGTAAAATAAAGCACCTGATGACAGGTTTAAAAGAAAACTTAAAAGCACTGTGGTAGTTTCATTCAGTGCAGTTGCAGATGGTCAAGGTGTATGTAGAAAATGATGACATAGTACATAACAGTACAGAGATCACTGAAGGTTCACATTTAGGCATGCTAGAATCTTTAACACAAATAGGTAAGCTGGAGTGTGAAGCTGACCACAAACTTTCTTCCATCTACTAGAGGGATTAATAATTCATGAATCATTACTTCCACTTCCTCTATAAGCCTTAATGGTGTGACACTTAGGCACAGAGACAACTTATTACTTTCACAATAAAAGGTAATTCATATAGCTTGGTCAAAATGGAAGATATGTAGTTGACAAATATACTAACTGTATTTAGGCAAAGAATATATGGATACTAAAAAAAAATTTGTAGGAATTCTGTATCATATCTAATTTTTTTTGTGGATTGTGCGGAGAAGGTCAGACATTAAGATGTTAGTAGCAAATCTTTATACTCAATTTCCTCTATATAACCAATTCATTAATTTCATATACAGTCTCTTGTACTGTGGTAGATGTGAGACTTGTCTCTCTTTACAAAAATGTTTGATTGGCCTTGAAAGTTAGAAATACATTTAGTAAGCCTTAGAAGGGGTATCTATTTTGTTGGCCCAGGACAGGGTCTGGTGGGGGCCTTTGGTTGATTCGGTGATGAACCTTTGGGTTCCGTAAGCCATCTAGTTAGTTGAGAGGGGTATCTAATGTGTGTGTAGCAGAGGACATGAACTTATTCCATTGTGAAACATTTCAAGCTGTGAAATGCTCACGTTAGCGTGATTGTGTTTGCGTGATAATTTTCGATCATTCTCGGTCAATAGGATGACGTCACAGGTCACGTTACGTGCGCAGGTGCGAGAGTACACCATAGATTTTCTCTTTGATTACGTTTCTAAATCTTTAATGAGTCCAAATTTGGTGCTGCGATCAGTTACGAATTAGTTCGTATATTTTAGCACAAGATGGCAGAATTTCCATACACAATGCGCATGGTGAATATATTTCAGCCAATCACAACACTCCCTGACTGCAATGTACTTTTCTAAATTCTGCGTGACCTTAGCACCACCTAGTAAGAGAATGTTATAACCTATTGAACTTGGTATGGGGATGTACGAGTAGTTATAAGAAGTCTAAGTTTTACACAATCTGGATTTTCTTCCATCCGGGACCTTACCGTAAAGAAGCTTTTTCGTATCTTATTATGATCGCATAAGCGTTGGTATCGATAAATCTGTTATCTGTCCGTGTTATCGCTGTGTATGATAAACTTGAAAGTATAATAAACTGAAATGTTTGGGAAGTATTTGTTAATTGCAGCATATCTTGGATTTGCTGCATCTTCGCTAAATGTCACATCGGGGCCATCGGCAGATGGTGGTAAGTTAGCATCATTTATAGCATGTTATTTTTTAGTAAGTTATTTAGCGTTTTCTTACCATGTTACTAGGCAGAGCCTGCAAAGTATATTACAATTATTATCTTGATAGTACAAACTGATATTGCAGTACTGTTTTAGTAAAACGTCCATCTCGCATGACAATTAATGGATATACAGAGAATATGGTAGACGCCAGATGCCAAATTGTATTTCTTGAAGGTGGACGTCCATGTACTCGGAAGTCTTTCACACAAATTCAGAGCTAACTTGAAAAGTTGGAAATGTGGTAAAATAACCACCAGAAATTTAATATGGATTTGCCTTATAGTGCAAAATTGTACTTGGCCTTTTTATATTTTATTTTTTGCTGGCCCAATTTACTTTGTGTGCCACTTGGAAGTTTTGTGATTATGCTTAGCGACTTTCATAGATATTGGATGATGCATTTATAGATTCTTCAGCATTAAATGTAAGTCGGGCACACATACAGTATATTTTACATCAAATTCTGTGTACTACATTTACAATTCCAGTGAATTTTGTTTATTTAATATATCAGGAAAGGCCACTTGTTTGATTGATGTTGTATGTGTTATTCTTGAGTGCAGCTCATAACTAAGGATTCTCTTGGATCTGCAACTTTTTTATACAAATTTAATAATGTAAATTTGTAAAAAGACTGTGTTTTGTTCTTCAGTATCACACATTCGTTTTCTCTTGCATTGATTTGCCTTGAAGATGTCCAGTTTCAGTAGGTAAAAAAATTATCCTGTGTGCGCAGGGCCACTTTAAGGCACTGGTGGGCCTGAGACATTGCATGATCTTGGAGATTAGTTTTTTAAATAAAAATTTAACTTGATACCATTATAAAATTTGCTTATAGTTTTAAAAGAAACATGGATAGAAAAGCATCAAACATTTTATTCCAAAGTAGAAGCATAAATGCCAAGCATACCAACAAAAAAGAAAATAATTTATGTGCTTTGTGTGTCTACTGCCCAGTTATGTCAATCAAATTTACAAGCAGAACTAGCCATTGAAGACTTTTGAAATTCTGTAAATAAAAGTAATTAATGCTGCAAGTTGGAATGAAACTTCTTTCTGGTTTTGATTTTCATGAAATAACCTTCACTTCATATAATTTCATGATTCACTTCACCTATTTCTCTTTATTGCTACATGTATAGGGAGGAATCTTGCCAGAATGCCATTAATCACAAGTCATGAAGGTGTGAAATAATTTACATTGTTTCTGATCCATTTTGACCATATACTAGCTGTTGATACTGTTTATTGATTGTGCTCCTGATGACTAAGGACATAACACAACTATTTGGTCATCTGCAAGCTTGTGATATCAGGCATAATTATTGAAAATATACTGTAACATGGACCAATTAGTCTGACATATGTTTTTAAGATATTTGGAAATTGCAGCTACTCACGTTTCTCATAGGATAAAGTAGTCCTGCCTCATCAAGTAACTTATTTGCAAGTGTTTGTATTAGTTCTCAACTATGGTACTTTTTTTCTCTTAACAAATGTGATTTTGACAAGGAATCTTATGAGGTGCTCATAGTATAATCTCATTCTGAATGGCATGGGCAATGCATTAAAAACATTCTTATTTGAGGATTTAGAGGTACAGGGGATAGGTATAATGTAGGCCTAATTATGAATATGGTAATGATAAAATAATGGGAAGTGCAAGTTATGAGAGGTGTTGGAATAGTGTATGGGTAAAGTATCAAATTGTATATGAGTGTTGCTGAATGAGGAGTTAAACTGGTTCTTAGTATAGGGTGTGTAATGTCCTGTTTATTAGTGCTGTTTTTTTTATAATTTTATGCTTTAGAACTTGGTGATGCCAGTAGGTTATAGGCCGCATGTAGTAAATCCACTTCCTTTCATCTTACATTGAATTCTTCACCAAGATAACGTGACATTATGCTTTGATGAGTTCAGTAACATATTGCTTCTATTTTGATGATGGCTTAGCTTATGATTTAATGGAACATTTGATTTGAGGTGAATTTTTTTTATTTTGTTGTGGCATTGTTTCTATTTAACCGTGTTTTAATCAACAATATCTACATGGTATTTCTTGATTATTTGAACTTGATACTATCAATTCTTTGTACAACTGTTTTATAACATGTCAACTTATGTATCGTCTAGAAATAAATACAGAAAAGTTGAAGTGCATGATCATCTCAGCTTCAGAATTCAGGACAGAATCAGAATGTAAGGATAGCTAATGAATCATTCAAAAGTGTAACAAAATTCAAGTACTTGGGGATGACGCTAACAAGTCATAATGACATTCATGATGAAATGAAGAGCAGATTAAATTCAGTGAATACTTTCTATCATTCATTCCAAAATCTTTTGTCCTCCAATCTCATATAAAAAAACTGAAGATTAAAATATACAAAAGTGTAATTTTGCCAGTTGTGCTGTATGAGTGCAAAACTTGAGAGGAAGATGGATCATGTAGAAAATTGCATAATGAAGAGCTTCAGTCTTTTCTCCTCACCTTATATTGTTTGGGTGATTAAATAAAGGAGGATGAGGTGGGTGGGACATGCAGCATGCATGAGAAAGGAGAGGGATGTTTACATGGTATTGTTGGGATGCCTGAAGGGAGGAGACCAGTGGGAAGACCTAGGCATTGGTGGGAGGATAACATTAAGATGGACCTTAGGGAGATAGGAATCATTGGAGTGAACTGGATACAGCAAGCTTTTCTTATGATACTTGTATTATTATTTGTGAGCCAGGGTAGCTCAGTTAGTATTGCGACTGGCTATGGACTGGGACCCACCCAGTCTTCTATCCAGTGGATACCAGGGTTCTTTCCCAGGGGTAAAGCACAGCCGAGGTGTGACACTGACCACTCATCCCTATCTAGTGCTGAGGTTAATGGGTAGGAGCTATACTATCTCTCCGCCCATGTACCTACATGACATATTGTGGGACAGCTTTTACTTTTTACTTGTATTATTTATCATTCTGAAAGCAAGTACTTAAGAATTCTGTTAATGGTGTCTTTGGTAGCCTGAACAAATAGTGTAAACCCATTAAATTTTGAAAAAGCTGATTTCATAAAATTTGCTACTAACAACAAAATACGTTGTAATTTAAATATAGGTTATAATGATAAAACAACTGAAGATGCAGAAACAGCTAAATTCCTTGGCTTACAAATTGGTAATAACTCAAACTGGAATAAACACATTGATTGTGCTATCCCCAAATTAAGTTCAACATGCTTTGCCATGAGAACAGGCACACTACTATTTAAAATGTATACTTGTACTTCAGAATTAGTATAGTTTGCTTATTTCCATTCCACCATGTCATATGGAGGTTTCTTCTGTGGAAGTTCAAGAGACAGCAAAAGTGCATTTAACATCCAAAAGAAAATCAATATAATAATGGCAGATGTTAAAAATTCTCTTGTAGAGAATTATTCAAGAAATTTGCGTACAACATTGAGAAGTCTAAAACAAATTCTGGCATATCTAGTATAAACTAAAGGCATAAACATGACTTCATATGCCAAATGCTAACCTCGCTAGTTATTAGAAAGTGTTCATTATGCAGGGATAAATTATTCAGTACGTTTCCATCTTACATTAAAAGTTTAAATTTTAAACCTCACTCTGACACTATAGAAGAATTTACTTTCATTGAAAATTCTCAAATATTGTAAATATTTGTTAATGCTGTATCAGGTATGTGCTCATATTTATATTGGTATTAAAGTTGTACTATGTGTCAGTGCTTATATTATGATGTGTTCTGCATACTTTGCACTAGGATCTGTGGAATGTAATGAAATATCTCCTCTTTTTTTCCCAGAGTGACTGGTTTCAAAGAGGTTTTCACACCAACAGTTTCTGTGAATTACTCATTTTCCTCTGAGCTTAATGTATAGCCCATTATAATTTTCATTATTCTTAACACCTTTTCAAATCTGTATATTTTATACTTCTTGCATTGTGTTAATTTTAGATTTTCCATGTTTTAGTGCCCCGATTGGACCTAGCTAGTTTAGAAAGTGGATACCATGGGTTGGTCAAAGAAAATGAGACACTTGTAGAAGTCACACCACGAATTAAGGCTGTTGGTGGAGACATTTGTAGTTTCCGAATTGTCAACAAACACCATGGTGAAGCACCATTTGAGGTAAGGTTGAAGTTTATTTGGAAGGCAGGCATATCTTCAGTATTTTCAGTTAAAGGTTTCACACATTAATGTCTTTTGTCCTTTGACTCTAATAGAGAGCAAGTGTTAAATTGTAAAGGTTCTAAGTAACTGTAATAAAATTTTAGTAATTAGTAATGGTGGGTTATGGACAGGATTCTCCAGTATGGAATTGGAATTTATCTCTTTGCAGTCATATTCAGAATGTTTCTTGGGCCTACTCAGCCTCGTTTGCTGAAGACTTTTTAACATAAAATTAGTTCATTGTTGAACATTCATATTAATTTGCCTTTGCTTGCCTTAAAGCATAAAAATTGTGTTAAATGTAATATTTCTGGTGATTGTTTTATAATGTGGATGTGTCATTTTACACCTCATTGTTTCATTTGGATTTGTAGAAAAGCATAATGTGGTGGTGTAATATTCTTGTGTGTGATCAGCCATAGCTAGTCTTCAAAACATTTGCATTTGACTTCACAGAAACATGACTGATGCCCAAGAACAATCATGTGTTGTGTATATATTTTGCATCTGATATAAATAAAGTAAGTGGGAGAACATAGATATTACATTTGAAACAACTTCATAACTCATACATAGTACCTAGCATTTTTGTGGATGCTGTCAGTTGGAAGAACTTGATGAATATAATATTAGATAATATTGAAATAGGTTTTATGTGAATAGGTTGTGAAGATAATTGTCTTAATGTTAAGTCCAGTAGTGACTCCTGTTGTTACCTACATTGAAATTTGGATTGCATTATCAGTTAGTCCCCACCCTAACTGCCTGTCTGATGTCCATTACTGCACACATTGCACATACCACTGTGTACATTCACCATTCTTATGGAACAGGAGAATGATTTGTTATAAGGAGTATTAGTGGTTGTGTAACAAGATAGCTGAGGCTATTATGGCCTGATGAAAGTATAATGTAAGTTCATGCATCAGCCATATGCCATATATGGTTGATGACACGTCTGTATTTATTATTATTTGTTTTATGGGCAGAAGAGGAAACTGTTATAAATCTAACATTTTGAAGTGTAAGAATGTAAATTCTTGTTAGATGAAGAATGTGAGTCTCTGTTCATTTGTCTGCACCTGTTTGGCACTCATTTAACCCATAGGCATACTACATGATTTTGTTTTCTTAAAATACCTATGAAATCAGTTCAAAATAATTGCCTCTTAATTCATATCTGTTGACAAACAAGTGAACTACTTTGACTTTCATCCAGTCATGTTCAGAACCAAAGTGGCTACTGTCACCTATGTGAATAGATGCTGCACAACTATTAAATTATTTTTGAAACATTAATTCAAGGCAGTGTTAATTATGATTTGAATTCTTGATTTTAAGATGTTTTAGATTGTCTTTAGGTGTTTAAGGAATGCAAGAAGTCTTCACTCCATCTGTAAAATGTGGGTTAGGAAATGTAGTTAGAGTATATGGACATAAACAAAATTGTATTTTCTTGTGTCATTTATAACTCAAGGAATGTTTGATTTGTATTGGTAAAATTGTATATTGTAGGTCCTTATTTGTCTGTTTTGTGTGTTTTATGCTGTTTATAAGACAGCACCAAAAGTTAGTATTCATAAATTGAAAATTTAGAAGCATTAACAATAATGAATGATGCAGAATCATTATGCAGTCTGCACATCTCCTAACAAGTTGTCTTGATTTCAGATTGTATTGAAGCCAGGAGGTGAAGCTGAACTGCGGGCTCGAAAGGCTCTCAACTGTGAAAAGAGGAAAAACTACAAATTTGACATTGCGGCTGTCACTTGTACTGGTGAAGTCTCAGACAAGTAAGAGAGCTAGCTTTTCAAAATTAAGTAGTGTCATTGAAGTAAGAGCTCTTTATGAAAATACTGTCATGAGTGATATATGAGATTATCATGAGGAATTTTTTGTTTTTTATCTTTTGGAGACTAGTTTAGAATGTGTAGGTAAGTATAAATTTAAGAATAATCATAGTTAGCCAGGAAGGATAGAGTCATTGTTAAAAAATTATTAACTGACAAGAATCTACTATAAAAATTTCTGATTCCCCGTTGTCGTCAACCAATTTGTCGTCCAAAAATGACATAATCAGCAATGTTACGTTATTTGTTTACTCGGCATTGTTGTGTTGGTATACCAACACAACAATGCCGAGTAAACAAATAACGTAACATTGCTGATTATGTCATTTTTGGACGACAAATTGGTTGACGACAACGGGGAATCAGAAATTTTTATAGTAGATTCTTGTCAGTTAATAATTTTTTAACAATGACTCTATCCTTCCTGGCTAACTATGATTATTCTTAAATTTATACTTACCTACACATTCTAAACTAGTCTCCAAAAGATAAAAAACAAAAAATTCCTCATGATAATCTCATATATCACTCATGACAGTATTTTCATAAAGAGCTCTTACTTCAATGACACTACTTAATTTTGAAAAGCTAGCTCTCTTACTTGTCTGGCTAAAATTATGTACTGTCTGCTGTGCTTAACAATGCAATGTGGTTGTTTCCTTGATATTTTCAGCAGAAGCATTACTAATATTAGTTCCTCCGTATGATATCTCGCAGTGTTTGGTTGTAATATATTGATGACTAAGAAATATATGTTGTTCAAAATACTGTGCGAACAATTACACAACTGAAATGTGTGGAGTAGCAGTATGGAAGGTATATAGCTGCCAGTTAAGTTGCCTATGTTGACATAGTTTACATAGCTCATTTTTGCTGAAGATGAGCAGTTGTGTGTTCAGGAATGATTGGTGATTGTTTATTTCTTTCATCATTCATATTGTACATGGAAATGTATTTCAAAGCCTGTGTTAATGGCTACTAATGTAAAAATACATCAGATTGTGGTCTTGTGGATTATGGCACTACATAATCCTCTGTGGTTGCCAACATTCTGGTACCTTCATCTTTAATATAGAAAAAAGTAAGTAGATCTGGGATGTAGGAATGGTGGAGGAATCAGGCTGAGAAGAACAAGAATGGTAGCCAGAATGAGAGAAGAAGAGATGAGGTAGAGCTCTCACCAGGTTGATGGGAAATAGGGAACAGGAAAGGCCCAATCAGAGCTAGTACAGAGGAATGTTATGTTAGGTGGAAGTATGTGCTTATGTATTGAGATGCTTCTTTGACATGGCATTGTAGCCCAGGATATTGCAATCGTAATTTTCGCCATCATGAATGCCTCAATTGTCATATAAAAATGTTTATAATATTTTTCATGTGGCTCAGAGTTGTGGAAGAGTAGTGGTTAGTACTCCTGCTTCATATTTAGGATGTCAGTAGTTTGGATCTCTGCTGGAGACCAATTATCCTCATTAGCTTCTCTAAATTCCTCCATATATATATATATATATATGATGAGATGGCTGTTTTGAAATAATCCATGAAACTTTCTTCTTCATATCTGTTTGATTACTTATTCATTTGTGTTTTGTTTAATGATTCTGCCAGTAGCCAAGACTGCGTAACATCAGATGACATAATGATAAATGAATAGGTGTTTGGAAAGGATTTGGAAGTTGTCTTGTCCTGATTTAAGGTACTGTCTTGGCATTTGCCTGGAGGAAATGAGGACAACTGTGAAGAACCTCAGCCAGGATAGTCTGTGTCTGAATTGATATTTGAACCCAAGACTCTTGAATACAAAGCATGTGTCTTCTTGATACTAACCAAGTCATTCATTATTCATCCTGGCATTTCTCATTCAGTATTTTATATGAAATAAATCAATAAGCAGCTGTATTTTTTTGTTATCTTATTGCAGTGCAACAGTTCATATCTCGGTGGTTGATATTAATGAATATGCACCAACATTTTTGGACCCATCTTATGTATGTCAAGTGGACGAAGGCCGCTTGTACGAAGAAATTGTGCGTGTGGAGGCTACTGATCGAGACTGCACGCCCAAATACGGAGATGTCTGTAAATATGAAATTCTGACCAGTGACCAGCCTTTCACAATTGATAATGAAGGTATGGAATAAATATTCTTAAAACTTTGCATACCGTGCAGTGTACTGATATATAAAATCATGCATACAAACAAAAAGTGTAAAAAGTTTTGTTTGTATGCATGATTTTATATGGAATAAATATGCTACCAGTTTGGCAAGTTGCGTAATTATATATATATTCTCCCAAGTAATAGCAGTCTATTGTCTCAGGTTGATGATAAGGTTAGTAAGACCTGATTCAAAGTGGTATGCCTCTTTAACTTATGGTTTGATTCTTTCTAGACAACCTACATTCTGGTAATATGTTTCTGTTGCTATAATGGTAGTTGTTTTATTTTAGCATCACATAAACCATAGTTTATATTAAAAACAATCACTGTAATAATAGGGCTGCAACTAAAAGTGAAAAGGTCCTTTATGGCACTGCTTGTAAGCAAAAAGTAACTTATGCTGGTTTGTCAGTGTTGGTTTTCTAGGTTGTAATACCATGAGGACTTACAGATAGAAATCAACATTTCAGAGGAACATATTGCTTCCATTTTCCCTATGTACAAGTTCACACAGCAGTAGAACCCAGAAGACCAACATTGAAATGAAGATTTCTGGGTTGTTGCGCTGTGTAGTCTGGTCGATGTTAACCAACGTTTCAGAGGTGATACTGCGTCCGTCATCAGGGCGATGAATCTACTACACAGCACAACGACCCGGAAGACAAATCTTCATACTCACCACTGTGAAAACCTCAAATTTTACAACATTGGAATCTTTGCTATCACTAAACTTTAAATCTCATATTTTCCCACTTTAGTTCAAAGCTATATTAAGGCTTGTTAAAATACTTAGATGCTATCTAAGATTTAAAATAATGATGTAATATTGCAGTGTGTGTTTTCCCCCTCTAGGTGCTATTCGTAACACAGAACCTCTGGACTATGAAAGGAGCCACAATCACATTCTCTCAGTGGTTGCATATGATTGTGGTATGAAGCAATCTGTCCCTGTCATGGTCACTATTAAAGTGAATCGTATCTGCAAGCTTGGTTGGAAAGGTATGTTTTCAATTTAACCATTGTAGGGAAGAAATGAAATTTGTTATATTTAATTTAAACCAAGCAAACTTGTCACTTCTTAGCATGTTGCCAGTTTTAGAGCTACTACTAATAATAATAATGCAAATAAGTGTTGGGCTTGGTGGTTTGTTGGGTTTTTAATCTAAATGTAACATTACATCATGGTTAGTATCTCTGTGTATCTGCTTTAATGAACTTTCTGTCTTCATTGTTCACTTTGATTTTGTGTAGTCTGCTATCTGCTGTATAAATTTGATTTTAGGGACTTTTTTGTTGGAGGGGAAGTATAATTAATGTTCAGAATAAGATAATGGATAATAGCAGAAATTGCCTGCATTTTGAAGACACTTGAAAATCAGGCATATTATAATACTATTGTTATTTGGAGGTATTTTGTGCTGTTTGTAGTAATTCTTTTAACACTTAGGTATCCCAGAAAGGATTGACTATGCACCAGGAACAGGGAGAGAAGATCTGTTCCCAGATGCTGAATTGGAACTTTGTGATGTTCCCTGCACTGTTCACAGTGTAGAGACAAAATTGAACTTGGCAACATCTCACATAGGCAAGGGTTGTGATAGAGACACTTATTCAGTGCAGAGTCAGCGCAAGCTTTGTGGTAAGCTGTAGTTAGTTACTGCTGAATTGAATAGTTTATGTAATACACATTTATTTAACACAAAGTGTTAAGGACTGTAAAATACTAAAGTGAATTTCAGTGAATGCCCCTATGTGTGGTATGCTATGCATTTGCAAGTTGGTATATATTCTGAGAGCTGCTTTGATGAAGTGATTGCTACTGATTCAGTAATTCCTGCTTAAGTGTGTAATTGGCACCTGCTACTTATTATGAGTACTTATAAAATGAGATCAGTTAACTTAAATATCTTGTGACTATTCAGAAGTATACCATACCATACATGTTCTGATATTAGGTCAATATACCAGCAAAAAATTTTGTGCCTGTTTCCAACAGGTATCCACATTAGAATTTTACTGAATTGCATGATGTACAAACATAAGACATAAAAACATATTGTATGTTTCCTTGTTTAAGAAACTGTATCCATGACTTAATTTTCATTTAGTCACTGAATGATACTCTGTCCAGTTAAGTGAACCAACATTAACTGGGGAATGGCATATTGCAAACAACATGACAAAATATCAGAAGAAAATAATACATCCTAGGGGTTCACAGTCTCTGGCATGCTTAAAAATAAGTGTATCCCTAAGTCTTTGATGGTTAAGGGCCCCTGATACAGTCAAAAGAGTAAAGTCTATCTGGTTGTTATAAATGGCAGTTTACTTGTGTGTATATTTAGGTAGTAACATTATTTCTATTCCAGAATTTAATATGCATTGCCTTGCTAATTAAAAGAAAGTCAGGAGAGAACCATATTTGTAATTTATTATACATATTAAACTGAAATAAATTTTATGTACAATAAATACTATGTCAGTGAAAATATTCTTAACAGTTCTGATTCACAGGTTTCAACTAACTTTAGAATACATTGTATGTACTGAACAAATGAAGACATTTCCCAGTGCAGTAACTACATATGCACTTTATATTATTTGCTATCTGGACTTTTCCATCATCTTTGTTTAAAAGAACAAGAACAACCAAAATGTTTCGGAAACTGGCTCTGTTTCCGTCTTCGGGTGAGAGGGAAGGTACCTACTCAGTTGGGTCTGTCAGAAAGAGCTAGTCACTATTACTTTCAAATGAGCAGTTTACACCCCCATTACAATTTTTGTTACCTTATTGAAGTCTCATGGAATGTACTTATTGCAGTGTGGTAACATAAATTTATGCATGCCTTAATCAGGCGTACACATTTGTTTTTCAGGAGCTAGTATGGAGAGTGTAGATCTTCTCCCCAGTCCGGGTATTGGTTCTGAGTGGACCAAATCCCTTCCTACTGATGAAGGCCGAGAATCAGACCAAATCTTTGAGTTTGATGGTGCTAGCTCAGCTGTTGCAATTCCATCTGATGTACTTGATCACAATCTTGCTTCAGTGTTCACAATTGCAACATGGATGAAACACAAGCAACATCCTGATCAAGATAAACATGTCAAAGAACACATCATTTGCTCTGCTGATGACCACAGTAAATATTATTTATTGTTATTGTATAATTGTTTTGCCAGTATAGCTTTTAAATGCAGTCTTTTACCATTTTATATACAGTGAAACCTCTATCCATCGTTCCCGGAACTATCATTTTCCCGGATGCATCATCCGTTTTGTTCGGTCCCGAATACATCCCATATAAAATAATGTTACATTTTCCCGCTTCTATCGTTCCTCGAACTATCGTTTTATCGCATCGATCGTTCAAAAATCTTAGTCCCGGCCCACAATTTTCCCGCAATGATCGTTTCTGAGAATTTAAAATGCTGGGTTTAGAGATAAATTAATACCGAAAGACGCA